TAGGTGTCCGTTTAGTATTTATAACAGGGTTATTTCCAGAATTGCCAGACAACTCACGAGATGTAGACTGTGTGTAAAAACATTATCCAGACAGCTCGGTTGCCCGGGGTTAGTGCTCATTACTCCAGATGTTGGGAGCGATAGTCTGGGAGGGTCCAATCATCTCCAGCTCTAATTTCACATGTGTTTGAGCACGCACTCCGTATTGACATAGCATGCAGCAAATCAATGCGTTTCCCAAGGCGATCGCAGTACCTGCAGAAACTCGTGAGATTTGCCAAGTAACCTCCCTCCCCCCCCCGACAAACAAAAAAAGTACTTTGGATTAGGGAGTTAGGGAAATGCTCTGGTTTGTGTTACTAATTCTTGCAGTAGAACAGAGCATTTCTTGCAGTGATCCCACCGGAAGTAACAGAGCCTGCAGCAAAATCAGTTTTGACTTCTCTCAGCCAAGTTCAGAAATCTATAATACGATGAATCACCGACTGAACGGAGACCGGATCGGGAGCAGAGCGCTGCTGACTTCTTCCTGCTTTAACCCCTGCCAGTCATGGCGCTAAGCTTTCTAACTGGTCCTCGCAGGTAATGTAGAGGAGTAACGAGTTGCCCCAGTCATGCTCACAAATAATTACACCAGCCCTGTTTGCCCCTCCAGCCTTTGTAATAAGAACAGGTTATCATTCGTGTAAATGTATAAAATAACCATGTTCAGATGTATTTCTACCTGTGGCAAAAAATAAAAAATAATGAAGAAAACATTCATGGGGACATCTGTTCATTGGAAATAGTATGTTCATTTGTGTGTTTTCCGATCAGAATGAAGTTTTATGGACTGAATCAGAGCCCTGAATCAGCCATCGCTGGGATATTGCTGGGACACATGATTTAATATGAATATATTTATTCTATATACTGATTGATTCCTTCTGTGTGATCTTTCTAAAATACCCAATTACAGCAGGATAACCTTAGAACCTTGGTGCTCGCAATAAACATTAATAGATCCAGAGTGATGGTTCTCCAGCATATACCAACAACCAATCAAATCTTCAGATTTACTAACCGAAAACAAGCCATGTTTCAGCCCCGTATAAGGCTGTTATCAAACACGGTGAAGAGTTTACTGTATTGTAGTTACGCGTTCTGCTCTGTTCTTCATTTGTTTATTGTCCTACGATTGAGAACCTCACAGACTGCCACCAAACAGCACACATCTATCCCCTGCACCATCTGAGGCTCTGTTAAATGTGAGTGTGCCATACACAGAGCCATAACCATATACTGCACCATTATTTCATTTTCTCTTGATTCATATTATCAATGCAAGTTGAACATGTCTGCAGTTTTTCCTCTCTCAACATATTCTGTAACGCTGTACAATTATAGAATTGGGATGTCTGACCGCAAGTCATTAACAGACAGAATAATATTGACAGATAGAATTAGTGCAGACTTCTCATGAAAGGATGAGTCATACCAGAGCCTGAAATGATAAATAATAGACTGTCTTTAAACAATGTCAAAGGTAGCGTTAGGTGGGTACCATTTCAGTACAGTTAAAAGCATACTATAGGCACCAAAACAACTTTAGCTTGATGAAGCAGTTTTGGTGTATAGATCGCACTCCATGTGTTCAATTCTCTGCCATTTAAAGTTAAAAGTTATAGCATGTCCTGCAGGCTCAGCACTGTAAATGCTGCAATTTCAGGCAACAGCCACTAGAGGTGCTTCAATGCATCACTATGAGGAGATGCTGATTGGCGCAGAGCAGAGTTTACAAACTCACCTTTCCCATGCGATCGAGGGGGGGTGGGAGGCAGTCACCTAAATCGTTAAACTATAGTATTCTCTCATTGATCTACATTTTAAAACATTGCAGGGTTAAGACTGCCTCTAGTGGACGTCCTCACACTGTGCATGAGAACATGCAGTATCTTTAAATCACCCATAGGAAAGCATTGAGGGGAAGCTAATGCAGGCAATGACTGCCGCCTGTGCACATTAGGTTCTTCTCTGTAAATAAACTAAATATATTTCCTGTTAGGGAAATATATACGGGTGGATTGGCGCTATTAGTGAAAATGACAATGAGAACAGCAACTACCCCCAAGTGCCAAGTAAATCACCAAAGGCACTACACAAGTACAACAAGTGAAAAAGAAAGAAAAGGAGGGGGGTGCTAGAAAAGTAATATCACAATATTATACTTATATCTGTACATCAGTTATTCAATCAGTAGCTTACTGGATCAATCTAGAAAAGATAAACAAAATGTACATAGCATAATACTGTATAGAGAGACTGTATATCAACAGTATTTGGTATTGGGTCACTCACGATCTGTAGAGCCTTAAATAGCAGGCTCTAACTGTATTTGCTCCTCAAATAATGTCAGGCAAACTACTTCATCCAGCGAAGGCAGCTTCTAATTCCTCCAAATACTCTTCCAATCACACCACAACTCGGGTAGCCAAGTGGGTAAATATATGAAGAGATTTATTACAATTAAAACAAAGAATAAAAAACATACAGGGCACAACGCGTTTCGACTTTCGTCTTCTTCCAAGGTGCATATGGTACAACCGATCACAGTCTCATTAAATAGGTCCGGTAAATTCCCGGGTAAAATTTGATCGACTTCCGTGTTGTGACGTCACTTCCGGGTTCTGTCGGCGTCAATAACGTCATCACGGATTGGTTCGTGATTTACTCTTCAACCCGGATATTGTTGTGTTTAGACGCCATCTTTAAAGGTGGCATCTTATCTTTATAAGTCCGCTTATATATGGAAAAAATTAACCGATACCAGGTCACATCAGTCCACATTTTCACAATAAACAAAATACAATCGACAGTAAGATATATTATTTTATATTTAATACATCCATACATCTAATTTTAAAAATCTCTAAGTTATTTGATTTACAGCATAAGGAGAAAACATTCTTTGGGGAAAAAATACACACATTAAAAATAAAAATTCATATTAAGGATACTTCAGAAATCCATATGAAGAATATATAAAAAGTATATAAGCAATATGCAGTCTATATAAAAGTATAAAGCATATATACTTAATATAGAAATAATAATAAGAAGCCAAAAATTGATAATATAAAAATACATATACAAAAATACATATGGGAAAACTCATAAAAAATAATAATTAATATATATTTAAACCTATATAATAACAATAAATATAAAAATATATAAAAAAAAAGTATTAACATTCTTCCACTATAAAAATTATTACTATTATAAAAATTATTTTAAAAATATTAAAAAATATATTTATTTGAAAAAAACTTTTTATTAGAGAAAATATATTATATCAGAGCTGCCATCTCAAAATCCACGTTGAGTCCGCCCGGAGTCAGGGTTTCTAAATCAAAAATTCACCTCATCTCACAGCGACTCAAAGTGGACTCGATCTGGCCTCCTCTCCAATGAGGTTTAATAGTCTGAATTCCATAAAAAGTAAGCCCAGTAGGATCCCCACCATGGGCATTAAAAAAGTGTAGGGAGACATTATGTTTCAAAAAACCTATCCTTATGTTGTAGATATGTTCACGTATCCTTGTTTTTAGGTTTCTTGATGTTTTCCCCACATATTGGAGTCCACAAGGACACGTGAGCAGATACACCACATTTTTAGTGTGACAGGTAATAAACAAATTAATCTTAAAATTAACAGAGCCAATCCTAGATTTAAAAGCATCTATTCGTTTTGGTTTCTTTTTGAAATTCCTGCAACCCATACATTCCCCACAATAATGGAATCCTTTTTGTAGGGCTTTATTACTGGTTAGGACATTTTCTTTGGGTTTAGATGGTTCTAAATAACTAGAGGTTAATTTCTGTTTTAAATTACTAGCTCCTCTAAAAATTAACCTAGGTCTATCGTTAAGATATGGTAAAATATCTTCATCCTGTTGTAGGATCTTCTCTGTGCTGGCGAAGACGGAGCTAGTGTTTAGGGACTTTGACGCTGGAATTAGAACACTCTAGTATTCATTGAAGACATCGGATAATATTTTTCGATAATTTGCTGTCTTTCTACAATATTTCAGACAATTTAGAGCGCTCACTATAAAAAACAACAGTTACTATACGGCATTGTTTGTGTATTAATTATAATGCTCATGGCATTAAGTGGCTTTTCCTGTCTATTCTGGGTTAAAGGTCAGACAGGACTTTAATTTTCAGGAAATTACTATGTAGAAGGAAATAATTCCCATACAAATGAAATCCAGAGCTCGTTTATTGAGTCCAGAAAATCCTACTTACAAAGTTGTTGGAGTTTTTTTTTTCTTTGTTCGAGGGGTTACATAGAAATCGCTGTAAAATGTTAGGATTTCTGTAAAAGCTTACAAAAGGAATTACCACCAAAGAAGAATTTTATTTTGAACAATGGTTATAGTTTCCAAGCATTAAATAATAATGAAAAATCCCTGCTTGCTTCTGGTAGCCAAATGATCACATGATGCGAGTACATTCTTGTTACAGCTGTTGAGTGGAACGCTGTCCAGATGTAGCGAATTCACTGGTGATGGGGTACAGCACAAACGTTTACTTTCCAGAAAGATCACTTTTAAATGGGCAAAATTACAATTATTTATATAGCACCAACATATTCCACAGCCCTGTACAATTGATAAACAAGACAAACCTTTAATTCTAACGAAACGTGATTGCCATATTGGGCCAGTAGGTGATGAGATCCGTACATCAATAAGATTACAATCTAAGCAGTCAAATATCAAATCAATCCTAGATTAGTGGGTTTTAAAGAGTTACTCCAACCAAAAAACTCCTTCCCCCAGCCCCTAAGCCAAGTTCTCCCTGCAACAGGGACGATTAAAGGGAGCACATAGGCAGCACGGAAGGGGGTTGGACCACGCCGCCACTTTCTCCTGTCGCCAGCATTCTGTGTGTGCTCACCATAGGCGTGCGCAGCCTATTGCATTAGGGTGTGCACCCTAAAGCACAAACATACGCCGCGTGTGTGTCTGTGTGTATATATATATATACACATATATATATATATGTGTATATATATATATACACACATATATATATATATATATACATATATATATTCACAGACACACACACTGACACACACATACTCACACACTTACAGACACACACTGACACACACACACACACACTCACTGACACACACACACTGACACATACTCACACACTCACTGACACACACACTCACAGACACATACACACACACTGACACACACTCACAGACACACACTCACACACTCACAGACACACACTGACACATACTCACACACTCACTGACACACATACTCACACACTCACAGACACACACTGACACACACACACTCACAGACACATAGACACATACTCACACACTCACTGACACACACAATCACAGACACACACTCATAGACACACACACACTCACAGACACATACTCACATACTCACACACTCACAGACACACACACACACACTCACAGACACACACACACACTGACACATACTCACACACTCACTGACACACACTCACACTCACAGACACACACACTCACAGACACACACACACACTGACACACACACACACAAATTATTATATTTAAATATTTTTTTTTAAATGTCCACCCAGCCTCCTACCTGGAGTGCTGGTGGACTTGTTCCTGGGGTCCAGTGGGGCAGGCGCCTTTCTCCAGCTCAGCCGCGGCGAGGGAGCTCTCTGCTCTCTGCTCCCTCTCGCCGCACGGGCTGTCTGCTGTAGCTGGGAGCCGGAATATGACTTCATATTCCGGCTCCCGGCATCAGCGCGCGGCGAGAGGAAGCAGAGAGCAGAGAGCTCCCTCGCCGCGGCTGAGCTGCAGGGTGGGGGGGAATCATCACCTCTTGCCCTCCCATGACAGGGGCAAGAGGTGAAACAGGGGACACTGAGTGCCTGCAGGAACAGCGTTCCTGCTCAAAAAAAGTGCAGGAACGCTGTTCCTGCAGGACTCAAACCAAAGGCGTGCGCACAGGGATTAGGGTGTGCCCAGGCACACCCGGCACACCCCGTGCGCACGCCTATGGTGCTCACGTCAAACAGAATTGACATTAACCTCCAAGAACTCTTGTCTTTTGCTTTCTATTGGCATTTTAATGGCACGGCCAGAGGTGGAGTTACACATCCGGCAGCAAAGGGGTTAAACTCTGTAAATGCAGCGTTTAGTACCGTCTTTCCCCGAAAATAAGTTCCGGTCTTATATTAATTTTCCTCCCGAAAAACTCTGAAATGTGCAGTTTTACTGTACTGGGAGGGTCTTGAAACCAGTCAGTATCTGGTGTGACCGCCATTTGCCTCATGCAGTGCAACACATTTCCTTCGCATAGAGTTGATCAGGTTGTTGATTGTGGCCTGTAGAATGTTGGTCCACTCCTCTTCAATGGCTGTGCGAAGTTTCTGGATATTGGCAGGACCTGGAACACACTGTCATATATGCCAATCCAGAGCATCCCAAACATGCTCAATGGGTGACATGTCCGGTGAGTATGCTGGCCATGCAAGAACTGGGATGTTTTAAGCTTCCTGGAATTGTGTACAGATCCTTGCAACATGGGGCCATGCTGCAACAGGAGGTGATGGTTGTGGATGCATGGCACAACAATGGGCCTCAGGATCTCGTCTTGGTATCTCTGTCCATTCAAAATGCCATCAATAAAACGCACCTGTGTTTGTTGTCCATAACGCCTGCCCATACCATTAACCCTCCGCCACCATCGGCCACTCGATCCACAACGTTGACATCAGCAAACTGCTCACCTACACGACGCCATACACACTGTCTGCCGTCAGTGTGTATTCATCTGTGAAGAGAACACCTTTCCAAAGTGCCAGACGCCATCGAATGTGAGCATTTTCCAACTCAAGTCGGTTACGACTACAAACTGCAGTCAGGTCGAGACCCCGATGAGTACGACAAGCATGCAGATGAGCTTCCCTGAGATGACTTCTGACAATTTGTGCAGAAATTCTTTGGTTATGCAAACAGATTGTTGCAGCAGCTGTCCGGGTGGCTGATCTCAGACGATCTTGGACTTGGAGGTGAAGATGCTGGATGTGGAGGTCCTGGGTTGGTGTAGTTACACGTGGTCTACAGTTGTGCGGCAGGTTGGATGTACTGCCAAATTCTCTGAAGCGCCTTTAGAGATGGCTTATGGTAGAGAAATGAACATTCAATTCATGGGCAACAGCTCTCTCAAAACTTCCAACATCTGTGGTTGTTTAATAAAACTGCACATTTTAGAGTGGCTTATTATTGCAGCCAGCCTAAGGCACACCTGTGCAATAATCATGCTGTCTAATCAGCATCTTGATATTCCACACCTGTGAGTTGGATGGATTATCTCGGCAAAGGAGAAGTGCCAACTAACACAGATTTAGACAGATTTGTGAACAATATTGGAGAGAAAATTCCCAGGACATAGATTAGCGGAAAACTTGGGCTTATTTTCGCCGTAGGGCTTATATTAGGAGCATCCCCGAAAATAAGCTATGTCTTATTTTCAGGGAAACACGGTAGTGAAACACTGCACCTACAGACTCCAGGCACCATAACCACTTCCGATCACTGAAATAATCACAATGCTTGGAGTAACCGTTTAATTCGTAAGAAAATGAATAGATCTGAAAAAAAGAAAAAGAAAACATGCTTGAAAATCTATTTTAATAAAATAACTGAACATAATCCTATAAAAAAAACTATAGACATTAAATCAATCCATCTGTGGATATGAGGAATCTGGGATTCCTTGTAATTTTATGTATTGTATAAATATGGGACACGCCCAGAGAAGTTTTGATACGTGCCACTACACGAAGTAGGGTGTCGCCATTTTATGTCACAGCCCGTGTCTCCTTCATACAATCACACATCCATCAGCTCAGAGAAGACACACGGGAGATCTTTTTTTTCCTGATTCTAATTTGTTTTGAATTTTCTTAAATGATTTGTATTTCACTGTAATTTTGTGTTCCTTTCACATCTTTGTGTAGATTTTAGGTCTACATTTGTATTGTATGTATAAGTACATACTGATTGTTGCGGCCAGGGATTCAACGTTTTCTTGTAGCCCTCTGATCCACTCATCCAATCAAATTCCAGGACACGGGGGCAGAGTCTGTTAATTAAAAGGTCTTTCTAGGTTTTTAAACTGCAACAATGAAGCAGACACAGCATCTTACAAAATACCATCCTGTTTTTTTAATTTTATTTTTATACTTTTTATTGCATGACAGAGGCTGCTTATTGTTGGTTTTTTTTTTTTTTGCATGAAAGCCCCTCCCTATGGTCTGCCTTTTCCAACCGGATGCAAGGGACATGCTAGCATCCTGTACCATCCTGAAACAAGGGGTTTTGGGAGGGGAGGGGTGGGGGGGGCAGCTAATTGTACCACCACACAGAGAGAGACAGCTTTAACCAAGTATGGCTGTGGGCGATATAAACATAAAAACATTTCTGGCGCCAGTCAGATCAGCAGAATCTATCCCAGGGACTAAGAGTGAGAGTGTGCGGCCCCATCCACGTTGCTTCCTTAATTATAATTATCTATAATATGGTCCTCTTTATTGGGACCTTGCGATGGGTGGAAGGTTAATAAAAAAAAAAAATAACAGGTTTGTTTCTTACCTCAAGATGTTTGTAAATATTAACGTCTCGATTTAATATCACAGTCAAATAAAAAAATTATTAATCTGCGAACATCTCCAAAGATTTGAATGATGAGTTACGTAAATAAATCATTTGACAATTTTTTAAAAACATATTGTGATCATTTGAACAACGTATCCAAAAATATTATATCAAGGCCGTAATTTGCTGGATTGGATCATGTAACAGTTCTGGGCGAAACACTGATTTCTTACCTCCATCTGTATCTGTATTAATGACTGAAGTTGTGCAACTTGCAGTGTTTGTGGTGATGGTACACACGGTTTTGTATTGTGCAGGTAGCAGACTGTCCTGATCGCAGACTAGCAATAGGGAAGTCTGGTGACAATAGGAACTAAAAGCTTAACCTCTGGGTAAGGTATACGCATCTCGTTCCTCTGATTACTCTTGTTCTTCAATAAATAGACCAGAAAGTGCAGAGCGGCTGTGACTTCTGACCCAGCAAGTGCGCACATAAAAATGATTTGTTCATTGTACTCCAGCCCTTTCTTTTAATGAGACTGTGTTAGATATACAGCAAATAGCCCAGACTGATAGAGAATTCTCTCGTAACTTTACCCTTTCCTTCCTGGATCTTCCCACAAGCTCACCTTGAATCCTAAACCCATGCAATATGTGGGTGAATATTCTCCGTACTTAGAATCATTCGTGAATGCAGTCTTTAATTGAAAATTACATGGTCCGTCCAAAGTGAATTGGAATTTCAGTCTGACGAGTAGGTTCTTATTCTGTTGGAACACTGGCCCAATGTTCCTGTTAGATATTCTGACACAGTGATTAATTAACTATCCTGGTACATAATTAGCCAAATGTCTGGAGCTGACATATCCTTTAAATAATATGAAGGAACCAGTAATAATGAGGACCAGACAATGACCCAAGTTACAGTGAGAATTAGAGGGCAAGTCAGAAGTTTGCCAAACCAGTTTGTAACTGCAGCTAAATGCTATGTAAAGGGACACTCCAACCACTTTCGTCACCTCAGACTCGTACATCGCCCTAAGCTTGTCCTGCCGGTATCAACTTCTCCTTGACCTGGATAGAGCCCAAATCGACTTGCCCGGAGTCAAGGACTGGCAGAAAGTGTATCGGTGCCCCACTTCTGCTCCACAGCCACTAAGTTCTAAGAGGCCTTGTATCAGCTGATCACGTTCTGGTATCGTACACCCACACGGTTGTCCCAGATCATTCCTTTACCTAATGTGATGTGCTGGTGATACATTTGTGACCCTGGTACTTAGATTAACATCTGGGAGTATTCCCACCTAATTCAGAGCTTCTGCACTGAAAATCTTGGCTGGGAAAGAAGGGGAGGACTGCAAAGACTGCAAACAAGAGAGCTGCATATATTGCAAACTGTTTTTTTTTGTTTTGTTTTTTTGTTTTTTACATCTTATTAAAGCC